TCCCGTATGTTCGTTACATCGGGAATGTCCAACAAATCAATTTTCTGATTGTTACCAACCTGTCTCCATTGATCCAACGGCGTGCTTTCGTCAATTACTACTGGATCCTGCGGTCCGCCAGGGCCCTGAGGCCCCCCGCGACCGCCTCCACCGTCCGAGGGATCTGAACCCCCTGGGCTTCCCGGAGGCGACCCACGTGGTCTTTTACCGTGATCATCTTCGTGCGTACACATAATCTCGGCATTCGGAGCGTCGCCCTTGTCGCCCCCTTCTCCGCCCTGCCCTGCTTCGCCCGACGACTTAGTCACCGTCGTTCCCGCAGGGCCATCTTTATAGGATGGGCGGTAATTGGCGAGAGCGTTATCTTCGTTAGATCCTGTTAGCTTGATTTCAATAGGAAATCCGCTCTCAGGGGCACTCGGCTTAGCCGGGCCCTCCAGGGCAGGACCGGGAACAGTAAAGTTCGGACGCAATAATGGCCTCACAGGAGTTTCTTGCGAAAGCAACGGCAAGCCAAATGAACTCGAGGCGAGTCCTGCCCCTCGTTTATTCTCAGTATACGGAAACGGGTCGGTGATGATAGCCTTAATTAAGCCTCATCATTCCTTTCTCTGTATTAGCTGCGTTCGTAATGGCCTCTTCCTCTCGCACGTCGGCAGCTGACCTTTCTCTCTTCCACAAGTCACATTTGGAACATAGTCCAGTGCTTGCATCGAAATGTTCTTCACAGGCCGACCTACCACATCCGACGCAATTGTCCGTCTTCGGGCGAAAGCAAACTGCGCAAAACTGGGCCACTGAGAATGCATTTCCCCGCTCCTCGGGAGGAGGATGCGCCACCTTTCTTACCAGCAAAGTTGACGCTCCCGCATTTGCTATGTTCGTCGGGTCAGACTGCGTTGGAACGGATACGGCGCCGGACGACTGAGCCGCCGACAATTGATGCACGTTCGTTCCAGTCGGCTTAGCCGGCGGGCATCTAGCATTGCTCGATTGCATACGCTGGAGGGAAGATCTGGCTTCTTCATGCGATCTGAGTTCTTCCAGATATTGATTGTTCTGGTCGGCTATCTTCGCAGCTACAGCTTGGGTGTTAACTTGCTCCAGCCCGGCGTCTTTAAGTTCTTCTTGTAAGCTCTGCTTTTCTCGTTCCGCCTTGACTGTAGCGATCTGTTCTCCTTCTACTCTAGCCACCGCAACAGCAGCGCCGACCGTTCTGGCATCAACAGGCTGATTGGTTGCCATCACGACGGCCTGTCTCTAAGAAGCCAGTATTTCCATAGATTTACTCTCGGCTTCCATCTCCGCCTGCCGCTTAACGACCGCGGTCTGATGATACAAATTGTTCCATCAGCTCTCGTTCTCGCTCTCTAGCAGCCATGGCTAGGGCAACCCGTTCAGCCTCGAACGCCTTCCGAACTTCAGCCATGGTTTCAGTCATTTCCTCTCTATCCAGTCGGGCCCTTTTTCGGCCAGCTGCGCTTCATTGGTCAGAAACTCCCTCTGAGTGTTGGCCTCTGCCAGCCTGGCCTGGCCCCGGATAGATTGCACGAGGAGATACGTGCAATTATGCTCGCCCATTGGGCAACACTCTGCACACAGCCATTGCATGCTACACTTAGGGCATGCTTCCGAGCAACTCTTGCATACTGGATTCCTACATGCACCCTCTGGCTGGTTGGCTTTTCCTGGGCATCTGCTTTCCGCCTGAGGCGCGCAGGTAGGGTTAGGGTTCCAACAAGCCTCCGCCATGGAGACGGCACTGTTGCTCCTCGAAGTAGACCTCGCTCCTGATCTCGGTATCTTGGGCCCCCCCACTGCTAGAAGCATTTGATCTGGGGCGAACGAAGGTATTTTCTGGAGATTAGGCATATCCAAAAGCTCCTCGTCCCTTTCGTCTTGTGTTATTAACTCAGTATACGAAGCTGGTTGGCCAACCATTTCTTCATCCTCAGCAACAGCTGGCATCGAGGGTTGCCAGTCACCTGAGGCGGCGGCAGCACGAAAGAAACCTTCCTTCAGTGGTGAGACGTTTAGGTCGTAATCCTCGTTTCTTTGCTTCTTGAGGTGAGGTGCAGGGGTTCGTCCTGCGGGCCCCCTCTCATGCTTCGTCTGAGCCTTCGTCTGAGCCTGCTTCATCAGATCCATCTGGAGACCACCTCTCGCCTTGGGCGGGGAGATCTTCTTCCATCATCAGGGACAATTCTCGGCTCAGGGAAATTTCGTTATTGATATTATCAAATTCTTCCTCCATGGAGTTTATCTCATGTTCTTTATCAATGGGATCATCACTGTCCTGACCCATTTGTCCGTTTAATGCTAATGGGATGGGAACGTTCGTATTCGTACCTGCCCATTCGCTTGGGATGCTGGGGCGCGCACCTACGTTATCGTGGGCTTCCCCTGGCAGGCTGGCCTCACCAGCGGCTGTGGCAATAGCATGTGTAGCGTTCGGAATTGGGCTGATTGACTCCGTCGATTTGGCACTCCGAGACGAAAACGCACTTCGTCTAGTTCTTGTTGTCACGCCATCTCGTCCGTACGGGTCTGGGGTCTGCTCTCGATTACCAATCGGAACTCCAGCGGAAGAGACATCTACCGACATCTCTGCCACTCACTCAGTACTTCTACCCCTAGTTCCCCGAGTGGCGATATAGGAAGGAGGAATGCGATCCTGAATGGGACCGCTCTTGATCATGTCGTGTCCATCATGTTGTACAACGCGCCCATCGGCGCTTCTCGAGACGTTGGACACGACGTCTGTCTATCATAGCTCATTCCCGCAGCGACTAAGTCGCGGGGCTCATTCGAAGTTCTTTCTTTCGGTTGGGATGGCCCCGCGTCGACTAAGTCGCGCGCTTCGGCTGATAACCAGTCTTGCCTCTGAGAATCGAGAAAAGATGCCAAAGGAATTAAGATCTCACGTTCACTCTGCTCAGGGAGAGAGGGGACGGGATGAGACATCGATAAGACAAGTATCCGTTAAGCCAGATTACTCTGTCAGGACTGTGAAGGGGGGAGGCCGGCTGACCTACGACCGACGACGCGCGACGGCCGGGGCTGGCGCGCTCCATTTCTCTCCTGCAAGCCAAGGCTGGCTTGTTTGAGCATCCATACAGCTGCAGGATGCAGCTGTTAGTTCAGGCAGACAGTGCAATGCATGCAAGTTATGTTAAGTTCTAATTGAATATGAGGCGGAGAGGAGCATATTTACTGATTTCCCTGCAATTCACTCACGGACAAGGCTCCCGCCTGATACTTCCCCCATATTCAAGCTTCAGGAGCCCAAGAGTGACGACAATTACAAGTTTGAGGATGACCCGCTCGGCTTACCAACATGAAGCGCCGGCCCCATAGGGAAGAGGCTCCCGCCTGAGACTTCCGTGCAATTCACTCACAGACGTGGACTCCGCCTGATACTTCCTCCATATTCAGGCCTCAGGAGCCCAAAAGTGACGACAGTTACACGTTTTGGATGACCCGCTCGGATTACCAACATGAAGTGCGGCCCCCATAAGGAGAGGGGGCTCCCGCCTGAGACTTCCTCAGAATTCACCCGCAGACGAAGCTCCCGCTTGGCACTTCCTCCAAATTCATGCCTCAGGAACCCAAAAGTGACGACAGCTACAGGTTTGAGGATGACCCGCTCGAATTACCAACATGAAGTGCGGGACCCATATGGAAGGGGGTCACGCCTGAGACTTCCTCACAATTCATTCACAGACGAGGCTCCCGCTCTAGGCGTCCTCCATATTCAAACTAGGGAGTGAGTGATGACGAAGTGATGAGTGAGCGAGTGGTGATGAGGATGATGCTGATGATGATGAGTGGTGGTGGTGATGATGATAATGATAATGATGATGATGATGATGATGATGATGATGAGTGACAGAATGATGATGATGGTGTTGATGAGGATGAGGATGGTAATGATGATGATTGATCGAATTATGATGATGTTGTTGATGAGGAGGATTATAATGGTGTGAGTGTGAATGATTGTGATGATTATGATAATGGTGACGATGGCGAGGATGATGATGAGTAATGACGATGGGTGGTGATGATGATGATGATGATGATGGTGAGTGAAGGGGTGCGGGGGTGATGATGGTAGTGATGATCAGGATGATGATGATGATGATGATGATGATGATGATGATGATGATGATGATGATGATGATGATGATGATGATGATGATGAGTGATGATGACTGATGATGATGACGGCCAGAGAGAGGAAGAAAAAGAGAGAGAGAGAGGGGGGTGAGGAGATCCTGCGCGGAGGGTGCCCAGAGAAAACAAGAGTCCCACTTAGGATGTGGGGAAAAAATCCCAGGCTGCGAGGAGGTCGGGAACTTGAGGGGCAGTGTCAGGGGGGGGGACCGGCTCAGGGGGGGAAGCGTCGACCTGGAACAGGCGATGCATCGCCGACAGACTGGCGACAGGCCCACGATAGCGAAGCCGCACGGTCCTGGGCGGGGTGGGCTGCAGGGCTCCGATCGGCGATCAGACGGCGGTTCCAAGGGCTCCCAACTTCGCGCTTCGCGCTGCGCGAAGCGCGAAGTGCGAATAACTTCGCGCTCTCGCGCCGCCTCCCAGGGGAGAAGAAGAGGATGAGGAGGAATCGGAGCCGAACCGCGAAGCGCGAAGCGAGAATAACTCGGCGCCCTCGAAGGCGCCCTTGGGTTCGGGGTCGAACCCCCCCCCCCCCGAGCCTGTTCCCCCCTCCCCTGGCGAACGCTGCCCCTGAGGAGCTCCTGGCCCCCGCACCTCGTGCGACCGAACGACCAGCACGACCAGGAGGGCGCGCCCCCCCCCCGTCGATCCTCCTCCTCCTCCTCCTCCTCCTCCTCCTCGTCCTCCTCCTCCTCCTCCGCCTCCTCCTCCTCCTCGATGCTCGATACTCGATGCTCGATGCTCGATGCTCGATCCTCGTCCTCCTCGCCCTCGTCCTCGATCCTCGATCCTCGATCCTCTCGAGGCGTGGCGCGCGCCGCCTGCCAGCGAGACGGGCTCGTAGGCTGGCCTCCACCCCAGGGGCGGCGGGGGCGCACTGCCGGCCGCCGTGCCGGCCGGTCGTCGTCGAGAGGGAGGACTCTTAGGGGAGGCGAGGAGCTGGAGGGGGGGCGAGGAGCTGGAGGGGGGGAGAGGGAGGGGAGGGGAGGAGGGGCGAGGCAAGGGGGGGGAGGGGAGGCGAGGGGGAGGACCCAGAGTCCTGGCCAGACTGCTCTCTCAACCGGCGCGTCCCCCCCCCCTGAGACAGGTCCACCCCTGCAGTAGGAGCTCGACCACAAGAAGCCTTCCACAAGAAACCCAACCCCGAGACCCCAGGGCGTCCATGGACTCTTGGCGTGGAACGTCGCGCTCCCCACAGCAAAACCATCGAAACCCGAGAAACCCAGGGCACCCTGGAGGCAAGCAGGATGTTCATTAGCACGGGTTTCCTCTGCATTGCTTCTTCAGCCAGCGCTCCCCCCCCCCCGTGAGCCAGGTCCCCCCCCCCTGCCGCTGCTCCTTGCCCATCGGGCGACGGAGAGGGCGGAGCGCTCCTCTCTCGAGCAGGAGATCGACTGCAGAATGGATCCACCCAGAATTATTGTTGCTCTCGTCGAACGCGTGAAAATATGCGATCGGTCTCTGCATTCTTCGCAGACTCGAACAGCACACGAATTCTGGGGTAGATCAATTCTATAGCCGATGCCCTGCCAGAATCTCGGCGGGCCGAAAGGCGCGGCAGGAAGCACACATACTTTTCTGCTGCAGCCGCGCGCCACGGACCCAGATCTCCGACATTGTTTTTTGTCCACCGGCGTTTCTTCCAAGATTTCGGCCCCTAGGGGCCCGTTTTCGGGCCGCGGTAACCTCGAACATGGGCCCCGAGGCGTGACACGCTGCCCCTGGGGAAAGGGTCGAGAACTCTTTGGCCGCGCACTTAAAAAATCAAATCGTCGGATAACCAGGGTCGAGGGGGGGATCGTCGCCAGAAGTCCCGACCTTTTTCCCCGGAGCATGCTTTCATCCCGAATCGATGTGTCCTCCTCAGGTTTCGCCCGAGGCTTCTAATAGTGGTACAATAAAACTCAGAAGAGAGTCCCACTGGGGGGACGGAGACCCCTAGATCGCCTGGTCCCGCATCCGTTTCGCTTGAGACTTCCGCACAATTTACAGAAACATGCTCTCGCCTCAATGCCAGCCACACGTTTGGTCTGGACTGCAACCATCCCTTCTTTAAAAAATACTACGGTGTACATAGCCGTGCTCTCAGTGCGGGGCTACGTGACGGCACGGCGCAAGTCTATAAGGCTATTGTTGAAGACCTCAAGTGATCGGCGTCCCCCGACAAGGCCAGCGTCATCAACAGTTGTCCTAAGCCTGGCAAGCTGTTGCAGGTTTGGTCAAGAGAGTTTGCGGGCAGTGGCGGCACCTCGACTGCCGTTAACCTCGGTATCGACGACACTCTCGTCGGGTTCGAGGTCATGGCGTTAAACTTCTTGCTCGCAAAGCGAAGTTCAAGGCTCGTGTTCGAAGGATCGCTCGGCAGAAGAAATTCCTGGGGCGTTCGGCCAGTCGCCTTCTCGTGTCTGGACCTCTTCCTGGTCTTAACTATGGGTGTGAAGTTCACAGAGTTAGCGATGTGGAGCCTCATTGTATGCGAGTTGCTGCAGGTCGATGTTTCAGGCCATCCAGTGGCAACAGGTCGCTGTCGGCTGCGCTCCTTTTTGAACGTGAGCCGTGCTTGTACGGCTCGGTCGCTCCTATTGCACGGTGGGCTAAAGAAATTTGGGCGGCCCAATGCCATTCTTTCCTGTTGCCCTTGAAGTTTCCCGAGCTCCGTCGAGCTTAGTCCAGGATTTTTGAAGTTGTCCAGAACCGGCCCCAGAAATGGTCCTCCGCGGCGGGTCCTGTGGGAGTTTTTCCCAACCATCCTGTGGTGTTGGGTCCTCGTTTTGAAGAGACGGCGCCCCGCGTTCCCGCCTCTTTCCTCCCTCCCTCCTCCCCCCTCCTCCCCCTCCCACACCCATTCTGGCACACCCCTCACACGTTTCGTGGCCCCATACGGAGCTCCACCGAAGGCCCCAGTGGCTGCGTTCGCATGCGCCCACCGCACCCATTTCGGCGCACCCCTCACACGTTTCGTGGCCCCACAGGGAGCTCCACCGAAGGCCCCAGTGGCTGCGTTCACGTGCGCCCACCGCACCCATTTCGGCACACCCCTCACACGCTTCGTGGCCCCTCACCCAAGGCCCCCGTGGCTGCGTTCGCATGCGCCACCGCACCCAGTTTCACACGTTTCGTGGCCCCACCACCGAAGGCCCCAGTGGCTGCGTTCACATGCGCCCACCGCACCCATTTCGGCACACCCCTCACACGTTTCGTGGCCCCATAGGGAGCCCACCGAAGGCCCCCGTGGCTGCGTTCGCATGCGCCCACCGCACCCAGTTCGGCACACCCCTCACACGTTTCGTGGCCCCACAGGGAGCTCCACCGAAGGCCCCAGTGGCTGCGTTCACATGCGCCCACCGCACCCATTTCGGCACACCCCTCACACGTTTCGTGGCCCCATAGGGAGCCTCACCCAAGGCCCCCGTGGCTGCGTTCGCATGCGCCCACCGCACCCAGTTCGGCACACCCCTCACACGTTTCGTGGCCCCACAGGGAGCTCCACCGAAGGCCCCAGTGGCTGCGTTCACATGCGCCCACCGCACCCATTTCGGCACACCCCTCACACGTTTCGTGGCCCCATAGGGAGCCTCACCCAAGGCCCCCGTGGCTGCGTTCGCATGCGCCCACCGCACCCAGTTCGGCACACCCCTCACACGTTTCGTGGCCCCATAGGGAGCTCCACCGAAGGCCCCGTGGCTGCGTTCGCACCGCACCCATTTCGGCGCACCCCTCACACGTTTCGTGGCCCCACAGGGAGCTCCACCGAAGGCCCCAGTGGCTGCGTTCACATGCGCCCACCGCACCGATTTCGGCACACCCCTCACACGTTTCGTGGCCCCATAGGGAGCCTCACCCAAGGCCCCCGTGGCTGCGTTCGCATGCGCCCACCGCACCCAGTTCGGCACACCCCTCACACGTTTCGTGGCCCCACAGGGAGCTCCACCGAAGGCCCCAGTGGCTGCGTTCACATGCGCCCACCGCACCCATTTCGGCACACCCCTCACACGTTTCGTGGCCCCACAGGGAGCCTCACCCAAGGCCCCCGTGGCTGCGTTCGCATGCGCCCACCGCACCCAGTTCGGCACACCCCTCACACGTTTCGTGGCCCCATAGGGAGCTCCACCGAAGGCCCCAGTGGCTGCGCTCGCATGCGGTTCCACCCCCCATTTCGGCACACCCCTCACACGCTTCGTGGCTCCATAGGGAGCTCCACCGAAGGCCCCAGTGGCTGCACGCGCATGCGGTTCCACCCCCAATTCTGGCACACCCCTCACACGTTTCGTGGCCCCATAGGGAGCTCCACCGAAGGCCCCAATGGCTGCGCTCGCATGCGGTTCCACCCCCCATTCTGCCACACCCCTCACACGTTTCGTGGCCCCATAGGGAGCTCCACCGAAGGCCCCAGCGGCTGCGCTCGCATGCGGTTCCACCCCCAATTTCGGCACACCCCTCACACGTTTCGTGGCCCCATAGGCGGCGCCGCTCCATTTCGGCACACCCCTCACACGCTTCGTGGCCCCATAGGGAGCTCCACCTAAGGTCCCCGTGGCGCAGTGCGCATGGCGGCGCCGCCCCATTTTGGCACACCCCTCACACGTTCCGTGGCCCCACAGGGAGCTCCATCTCAGCTCCAAGTGGCGCAACTCGCATGGCGCCGCCGCCCCATTTTGGCACACCCCTCACACGTTTCGTGGTCCCATAGGGAGGGAGGAGGAGGTGGAGGAGGAGGAGGAGGAGGAGGAGGAGAAGGAACCCCCACGATATCCACAATTGCGGTATTCACAACTACGTATGGTTGGGTCTTTCGTCAGGCTATTTTTTTGTCTGTGAAGCGCCTTGGGTGGAGCATGCCCAATTGCGCCACGCTGAGGGACGAGTTCGGAGTCGACTATTCCCTCACGTTCATCAGCCCCTCTCCTTAAAGACATCCGACGGTTGCTACGAAATTGGGTGTGGGATGGGACAGGGCATGTTTCGACATCGTCAGGCAGCAGGCTAGGAGCAAGCAGTACAATCCCCTTCAGCAAGGCAGTATCCGCAACCTGGCATGTGACGGAGTCTGGACGGCCGACAAGGCCGCGAAGGTAGGCTACCAGCTCTCCGATGATAAGCTGTTATGCCCCCTCTGCAAGAAGGAAAGGGATTCTGTTCATCACAGGTTATGGGTCTGTGAAACCGCCCAGAAGCAGAGGGAGGATCTTGTGAAGGCCTCAGTGCGCCAGGAAGCCCTTGGCGGATTATCTGATGGAGATCGCATTCTTTTCTGCGCGTGGTGTGTTCGAGCACCCTTCGGCCCACTGGCCGCGCGCTCGCACGACGGGGGGAGTGTTGATCAGATCGGATGATGATGTCCCTGAGGGAGCCAGCGGGGACATGCAAGGTGATGTGTTCATTGATGGGTCGTGCTTCAGGCACCCGATCGAGGATCTCGGTCGCGAGGGATGGAGAGTCACTCGTGTGTCCAGCACGGGAGATTGCCTCGCCGCAGTGTGCGGACCAGCTTCTGCACCTATGCCACAAACGGCGCCTGCTGCGGAATCCCACCAGCCCTTTGGGCGTGAGTGGTTTAGGGAGCTCTCTCTGTCCTCAACCCCCCTTCTTCCCCTTCGGGGAGGGGTTTACCCCTCCCCCTACCCCCTCCCCCTGGGCCTGGAAAGGGCGGGCCGCGGGTCGTCAGGGGAGTTTTTTTCGACTCCTGGGAGGGCCAAAAAACAACGACCCTCACGAGGATTCTGGCCCCGAGGGGGGGGAGGGAGCTTGGCGTCTGAACTCGTCGTTGAAGTAAAAAACATTGATTTTACTACGGTGTTGGCCCCATTTGGGCCTTCTGAGGGGGCCGCGTTCCTCTTCCTTCTTAGCAAA